GCAGCGGACTGGGAGGACAGACCACCGCCGCCCCCCCTCCCGGCTTTGCAAGCCCGGTCGCCTCCCTCCAAGTTACTCCACGGGCCGCCGCGTGGCTTTTCCCGCTCCCTCCTCGGGAGCCCCGGACGCCGCCGGGAAGGGAAGGCGGCCGAGGCGCCGCCGTCTGCGTGGGGGGCAATGGGCTCGCTCGGGACGTCCGGGACGGAGTCCGGCAGGAGCCTCTGAACCAGGCGGCGGCAGGCGATGGCGGCGATGGGCCAGCGACTCGGGACGGCGCTGCTGCTCGTCGCGCTGGGTGAGTCCCGGGCGCAGCTGCCCCCCCCCGCGCTCGATCCGAGGGCGTCCTCCTCCTCTGGGCTCGATCCGAGTCGCGAAGTCCCGAAGCCACGTGACAGGGAGACCCGAAGACCGGGGGTAGGGGCGTCGTGGGGGGGGCCCTCGGGGTGCCGCTGCAAAAGCGTCGCCCGATCCCAGAGTGGGGACCATTTGCTCCCGGCGGCGGCCACTTGGCGCGGAGGACGAGGCGCCTGTACCTTTAAGCGGCAACTTCCGAAGTGGCCTTGAAGGTACGGGAGCCCCTTCCTATAAGCCGCCTTGGGTCCTCTCCAGGAGAAAAGCGAGGTAACAAACAAACACATTTATCTATCGATCCATCTTTCCCTCCATTTTCCGCGCCCGCCCTACCTCTCGGGTGGCGCGCATTTGCTGTCTTCATCTAACAGCTAGTCACCTCCCGCCCGATTACTTCGAGGAACCTTTCAAAAAAGGGTGCACAGATCTTTAGCGGAGTTTCTTCTGCTCTGATCATTGGGGATGGGGGGGGGGACGAAGTGTGTCACACAGGTATGGGTTGTCCACTGTTTTCGCTGGCACTGCGGTGGTTTCGTTAACCAGCCTAGATGGCAGACATTTTCCCCACCACCCCATGCCGCTTGGAGATTAAAATAATGCGGAAAGTTTAACCTGCACAACTGAGGTAGTGGTGAAAAGGGACTCGGGATCGAGTGGGTGGGGGCGGGGAGAGAGCTGACAACCTCAAGTGATCGTGTGCTCTCCTATCTCCCCTCAGTCTTCTTTTCTCAAGGCTAAACATACCCAGTTATTTCAGTCTTCCCTCACAGGGCTTGGTTTGCAGTCCCCTGAGCATCCTTGTTACCCTCCCATGAACTTGTTCAGTTTGTTGGCATCCTTCCTAAAGTGTGGTTTCTAGGCACCGGCTCTTGCTCTTGAGTACAGGATACAGGGAAGAGATGAGTTGCATATTATTAAGGACCCTTTCCATTTTTCTTTTAAACAGGGTATCTGCTCAAATCACTGACTGCAGCAGCTCGGTGTGAAAACATTTACCAAGATTTCTCTGACTGCATCTTAAAACTAGGAGAAAACATGGCCAGCTATGAGGAACAGTATGACAGTGAAGAAAGGAGCCAGGGGCTACATGTTGTCTGTGGGTGAGCAGCGAACTATCTGACTTCTGTATTACATGTGTGTAAGACCACTGGATATATGCAATGCTGATACACATTCATATAGAATTAGTTCCTGCCTGAATTCACCCTGCTGAATTTTCGTGTGGATTATTGTGCAGAGAGGTTTGGAATACTTGACTGTAATATCTTTTTATACTGAAGAGGCTCGTCCTTTACCAAGCAGCAGTGGAGCAAAATACAGGAACCCATAGACCCTGTTAGTTGTGTTTCTCCATATCTAGCACATCCCTTAATATACTGAAAACATTAGAATTTTGCAAGGTAAAATGCAGATAAAGGTTGAGGTCACATGGAAGTGTGGCAGCATATCTAGCATGTTGCTAGGACTGCCCGGCTCCTGACGTTTAGATAAAGGTTGTCACATGGAAGTGTTGCTAGGACTGCCCGGCTCCTGACGTTTTGCGGTGGGATGCTCCTTTTGCTCAGCCTCCAGTCCACCACTGGCTGACAACATGAGGATCAACCCAAATATGTGCATATTAACTAAATATGTGCATTCTCCTCTGTAAAAGAGTAAAAATTTGTTTCTTTTTATTAACTGCAATATAGGTGGGCAAGACTGGAAAGAAACACACCCCCTTGGCCCGCCTAACCTTCCTGCATTTGGTAGTTTAATCAGGACCCACCCAACTCTACTTATGGGGCTAGGTGCACTGCAGCTACTGGGTCAGGCAGCGGATACAGGGTGGGCAGCAAAGTCAGTCTCTCAGATGTGCTTTCTCAGACTTTTAACCATTCCCTTCTCTTGGAGTACAGTGCTATGAAGAGCTGGGGGTTGGGTGGGGGCTATTTACACTACAGTGCCATACTGTGGTGCTGGAGGAGACTCTTGATACTTATGGGGCTAGGTGCACTGCAGCTACTGGGTCAGGCAGCGGATACAGGGTGGGCAGCAAAGTCAGTCTCTCAGATGTGCTTTCTCAGACTTTTAACCATTCCCTTCTCTTGGAGTACAGTGCTATGAAGAGCTGGGGGTTGGGTGGGGGCTATTTACACTACAGTGCCATACTGTGGTGCTGGAGGAGACTCTTGAGAGTCCCCTGAGGCTATTTTCACTACAGCGCCATACTGTGGGTGCTGGAGAAGACTCTTGAGAGTCCCCTGGACTGCAAGGAAAACAAACCTATCCATTTTGAAGGAAATCAACCCTGAGTGCTCACTGGAAGGACGGATCCTGAAGCTGAGGCTCCAATACTTTGGCCATCTGATGAGAAGAGAAGACTCCCTGGAAAAGACCCTGATGTTGGGAAAGGGTGAAGGCAAGAGGAGAAGGGGACGACAGAGGACGAGATGGTTGGACAGTGTCATCAAAGCTACCAACATGAATTTAACCAAACTCCAGGAGGCAGTGGAAGCCAGGAGGGCCTGGCGTGCTCTGGTCCATGGGGTCACGAAGAGTCGGACACTAAAGAACAAATCATACAGAAAGGGGGTGACTGGGAGATATTTTTCCCCAACACACAGTTTCTCCTATATCTCTTAACTAGGCTGCTGCCAATGGTATGTGTACCATACAGAAAGGGGGGGACTGGGAGATATTTTTTCCCAAACACAGTTTCTCCGATATCTGCTTAACTAGGCTGCTGCCAATGGTATGTGTCACGTCTGTATTCCATTGTCAGATTTTATACAAATGCCAGCTCCATTGGTTTCCCCAGGTGGAACAGATTCATAGAATTGTAGTGCTGGAAGTTCTCCCCAAGGATCACTGGTCCAGCCCCCTACCAGTAGAAGAAGTCAGCACCTTAAAGCATCCCTGATGGTTGGGTATCCAACCTCCACTTAAAAATGTCCGGTGAAGGGGAGTCTACCACCTTCCACTGTCAATGGAGTAAAGGATGGAGATACTATTTTTTTTGCCTCAGGCAGCAGAATGTCTTGGGCTGAATACTTCTGGTTCCTATAACAGAAGTAAACAAAGGGGATGGTGGTATAAAAGCAGAGCGAGGGGAAGGTAAAGCAGGGACAGGAGTTGGTTTCACTTCCTGATATACCATCTGGTCCACAAAAAGATCCACTTAGCCCATTGGGTAGTGTCTATGTTGAATAAACATACAGAGGCCTAGTTTGGAAAACTGTCTGAATCTTAACTCTTTCCGTGATGTCTAGCCATGGGACACATGAAGTTCAGATGGATGCATCCCTTGGTTTCCTGATGATGTCATCAGGGCCAAGAGGAATGCAATAAAATAACTAAGCACCAGGGCTCTCAAAGTTCTGCCTGGATTATATGTGAGGAGAGGGCTTGATGAAAAGCAAACAAGGAAGAGAGATAAAATAAAAAATTGGCTAAGAAAAATGGGTGTCTAGATGTGAAGATTCTGGATTGAGAAGGCCAAAGGAGAGATTAGGTCCTGCAGGAAGCAACCAACCAGGGGAAAGATACAGACTTGGTTGAGTGGAACAGGGGGAGCAGGACCCCTGTCGGAGAAGAGCTACTGAAAACAGAATAGCAAATATGGCTACGAATCAGAATAGCATATGAGGGAAAAGACAGGCCAGATTAAGAGGGTGAAGAAATTTTTCATATAGCAGGGAGAAGGGATTAATAAAAGGAACAAAAAGATCTCAAAAGATGAAAAATGAAAGGTAGTTGATCTGAAAATAATATAATTGGGACTGGAACCCTAGCTTGAGAAATAATAAACAAAGTATAGCACTTTTAAGTGCCTCACACAAGCATTGTTTAACTCAGACTAAGGGAACCCAGTATCCTCTAGATGTTTTGGACTGCCATAAGCCTAGCCAGAATAATTGATAAGGATGATGCGAGTTGTATTCCAAAACATCACCAGCTGTGCTGGCCGGGGTTTCTGGGAGTTGCAGTCCAAGAAGGGTTACCAAGGGTTGGGAGCCGCTGCTCTAGATGCATCAGTTGGCTTTTACTCTTAATGCAGGGGTGGATGAAGCTCAGAGGCTACATATTAATCTCCCTGGACCTTCGGTGGGTGCTTCCTGATGGATGAAGGCCAGAAAACATATACCCCTGGATATTCCTGTCTTTGGATCTCCTTCCACAACCTTTAGAAATTTTGTCTTATAAAAAAAGTTTATTTTTAACTTAGAAAGACCCATTGGGTCTTTTAGTGACTGTGGTATGGGCCTCATGCGGTTTTGCTGTGACACATCAATCTAACAGACTCTCCATAGGCTTTGCTGCATGAAACAAAAGGGTTTCTCAGGATGTCTCAGTTCCCTTTCCTTTTTGCTTGCTCGTTTTCTGCTAGTGAGAAAAAGCTGATCAGTGACAGATATGGAGATCAGTCTAATTGATGCCTCTGAGAGCAGCCTGCTATGAAATTGGTTGCAGTTTTGTTTTATGTGTGCAACATTTGCTCAGTCTGACACTGATGGGTCATGTGATGATCGCCCGTCTTGCTTAACAGATGGTAGCTGCAAACAACAGAAGCATTTGGCAAAATGCGAGCACCCAGTCGGAAAGTGGGGGATTGGGGGACAAACCAAAAATAAACAAGGAAGATCCAGTGAAAGTTGACACTTTTGCCCACATTTCCTTTCTCGGTTTCCTTATCTAAAGTCAGACTGTTTTGAATTCCCTCCTCTGCAGCACTGTATAAACGTGCTGCAGTTTTCAGGAGGTAAGGTCCAAACTGGGTTTACCTTGCTTGGCACCAGCTTTTCTCATTACAGACTCAGGATATTTCTTCTGCCAGAATGGTTCTATTTAATGAGCTCTTTGCAGCTGGCATTCAGAGAAATGTTCTATCTGATTTTTGCTCCTTTAAAAAAAGCACACATAAACAAACCAGTGGTGTTTCATGAGTGCATATTGACAGTGGTGCATACTTTTCCTCAGCCTGGCACCTTTCCTGAGATAGTGACAGAGATGTTGGCAAGTCCAAGTCTGAGTCTTGATACCAAGTTCCAAGACTAGGTCTTTGATACCAAGTCCCGAGTCCCTAATAACAAGCTGTTTTTCTCAGGAAAAAAAAACGGGGGATGAGTAGGTGAATGGTGCGTCACAAGCAAGTCAAAGTCATTGAACAAAATCAGATTGAGTCCAAGTCAAGTCACTGGTGCAACTTAAGTCTGACTTGGTAATGAGTCAAGTCCCTGTCTCTGGCTATCAGATTATGACCACCATCATTTCAAGCAAAATTGTTCCTTGGGAATGGTGGAAGTTGTAGTTCAACAAAGTTTGAGGTATAGCAAGCTTGGGAAGACTGGTCTTGGCCAACTTTGCTCACTTTCTACAGAATCAGGGTTCATACGAGCTGAAACCTCCTCTTACTTGAAACCCTGGCCATTACAATCAAGCATTCTTCTACAAGGAAAAAGATATCACCAAGTCTAATAAAAGGATATGAGTCACTTTTCACTAAACACGGGGCAAAGTTATTTGTCAAACCAGGGCACTGCATTCTCCCCTTTGTTCAAGTTCGGGTTTGCCTATACTGAACAATTGTCCAACTTCCCTTGCAACCATGATACTAGTACCGCATCCTGATGTCCACACAATGCAAGACTGAAACTAGTGTCAACCAAGGGCATGGCTACAGAACTCATTTGGACTGGCCTGGTGTGGGCTAAATAGGGTCTCTTACAGTCAGATGGAGATCTCATATGCCATGTGATGCAGTCTTTGAACCTATAGTTTGATGATGTGCTTAGAATTCTCAGATGTATACCCAAATGAATTTTGGGGATGCACTACAGCTCTGTAGCAGAGAATCCTATGCACCATTCAAAATGGCAAATCTCAAGATTCTATAGGATTAGACAGACAGACAGACAGACAGACAGACAGACAGACAGACAGACAGATAGATAGGATGAAGCCATGTTATCCTAAGTGTAATCAAGCTTCTAAAATACATTATACTCTGATATTTTCTCTCTCTCTCTCTCTCTCTCTCTCTAGGATGGACAGAATCATGCTAGATAGGAGAGGCTAGACTCTCTACAATGATCATTGTTATATGGAAATCTTTTTATTAGGATATATCAATCTTTTTTCTTTATAACTAGGCTATTTGTGACTTCTCAGTTTTACTTCATGTTGAGAGTTTGGTAAACCACCTTTGAGTAATCTATACCTGGAAAATCCTTGGAGGGTCACCACAAGTCAGAATGTATTTCATGGCACATAATGGTTAAAGAACTAACTGCCTCCTTTTCTCCTCATTCAGATACTGGGATGAGTTCCACGCTTGTGCCATGACTGCCCTTTGGGAATGCCAGAGGGAAGCAGTAACTATCTGGGAGATGTTGCAAAAGGAATCTCAGAAGATCAAATTTCAGGGCAGCCTTTTTGACCTCTGCACACCCAGCAACTCCCAGAATTTCAGCTCAGTGCTCATTCCAGCTACATCATTATTAAGCATCACTCTGATGGTGACTTGGCTTAATTTATAAAGGAAGCAGCACTGCAGATCTGTGCAAATCTACATCTACTTCTCTCCAAGTTCTTTGATAAACATTGTTAAGGTTGCTTATTTATTTAGTGAATGCTGGTTATCAGTATGGACCCTTCCCATTTCATAGTCTTATATAGTTACCAGGATTATCAGTGGAAACTGTGGTGAATGTTCTGGTTTGATCTTGGCTGTATACATCTGCACAAGGATCTCAAATTTAGGTGCTTAAGTAGAGTTCACGTGAGAAATGACAACAAAAGTAAAGCGACAGCACTGTCCTCCTCGCCTGGCGTTCTAATTGGATATACCCATCATCTGGCAAAGCAACAGCACTGTCCTTCATTGCCTAGCGTTCTAATTGGATATACCCATCATCTGGATGTGCCCTAATTTATCACTAAGCTGTTATGTTCACCTTCTCCTCCAAAACCTCAACCCTTAAAGCAGCAGCCTGTTGTGTAAACTATAATTCCAGGATACTTTTGAATGGAAAATACATGAAACAGGAAAGTACTGTAATATTGGATTTTCCCAGAGAAACAAATTCACAGGTCTTCATTTCATAACTGGAATAATCCCAGGAAATATCTACCAACGGATCTATGTGTTACTTATATCTGGCCTTGGACTGTTTGACTGAGATGTACAGTTGTATTTTAACAGACCATCATTCAAGTTCCGTCTTCCAAATGACCACACATTCTAAGAAAGTTTGAATTCAGCCTGCTACATTATGTTGGATTATGGCTGCAGATGATGATCACTACGAGTTCTGAATCAAACATAGCTAATGGCATCTCAGGGCTACCTGTAATATGGAATAACTGCACATTTCTGCATCCTTTTACAAATAATCAAGCTGTACAATCCATTTTTTCTAACAATTCTCTTCCACCCTCCTTCCTTATTTTTCCCAAGAGTGATATGTGAATAAAGTGCTGTCAACTCCTCTGAAGAAATTGTGGGAAATTTTTGAAGGAAAGTTATGGGAACAATTTCTTTTGCCATTCAGTGTTAAAGCATTTCATGGGATGTGTGTGATATTTCGACGCCATTTGTGGGCCAACTGTATGTATGGACCTGCTGCTTTAAGTCTTAAATGTCCAACGCCATTTGTGGGCCAACTGTATACTGTATATGGACCTGCTGCTTTAAGTCTTAAATGTATTCTTACACAACTCTGATGCAGTATAAACCAAGTTGGCCAAACTACAGGCCTGTAAGATAATGGAAATGTAAGAACCACAAGGCTCCATCGAGGCGTAAACTCCAAAGATCAGAAATTGGGGGTGGAAGGGATGGAGCACTATACTCTTTAGCCATTTGTATCCATCATATTATTATTTTAAAAATCATTCTCTGGTCATTTACATTGTGGAATGCAACCTCACTTTTTATAAATCAAGCTGAAAAGAAAAGCTACTGCTCTCCAGGGTCCTCTCTGACAAATTTAGCAAGGCTAAACAAAAGGTTCTCCTGTAAGACTTCAGTACAGAGAAGCAGCTGTTCCAGAAATGCTTTCTAGCAGCAGGCCCTGAAGTACCTACACTGGGCCAGGTTCATTAAGCAAAGGGAGTTGCCATCTGCTGTTTCCCTGCTCTGTGGTGATATACAGCTGCGGAGGAAAAATTCCCAAAACACAGGAAAAGGGCTTCCCAGAATGGAGATGGCAGAAAGCAGATTCAGAGCATAATCGGATTTATGCCTATTCAGAAGTAAACTCCCTGTAGCTTTTTTAAACTACAGCTCCCAGAACGCTCCAGGCAGCAAGGCTGAAAAGGAAATGGAAAAAGTAAAAACAACAACAAAAAACACCATTATCTGCTCCTGGTCTCTAGGTGCGTAAGGGGAACTTTCCTGGAGGAGGGCCTCTTTGTTGGTATAGAACAGACATCTGGAACACAAAACTTTTACCAAACTAGTGGCTTGTAGATGAGAGTCGGGAACCTTCTCTGCTGCTGTTCTGGTGTCTCTAGGTGCTTGGGGGGGGGGCGTTTTATAAGGTTTTAAAGGCAAAAACGAATTGACAAATCGTTTTGTCAATTTGTCAGGAAAAAATCATAAATTTGTAATTCATGATTTATCAAACTGGATGAATCATGAATCAAAATGCATCACAATTTTTTAAAAATTCAGACCCATCTCTAATTACCACCTCAGTCTTGATCAAACAAGGTAGTTGAATGACAAGCTGCTCGTAAGGTTTGTTGTATTAACTGGCAAGAAAGAGTATATATTTGCATGAACATGATCTAATGGGAATTGGTGTGTGTGTGTGTGTGTGTGTGTGTGTGAATCTCTCTTATATACATATATATATATATATGTATTCTTGATTCACATGTCATCCTAGAAGAGTAAAACAAGTGCTGGGGAATTGCAGTGTGTGTGTGTGCGTGAATCTCTCTTATATACATATATATATGTATTCTTGATTCACACGTCATCCTAGAAGAGTAAAACAAGTGCTGCTCGGCACTGATAGAAGACACTCTATGTATGCACAGAGGTACTTTATTCCTCTTTGTTTCTTTAAAGAAATCATATAGCTGAGAGCCAACATGGTAGGAGTGACTAAAGGAGAGATGGCTACCAGATCAAAAATGATGGCTGTACAATGAAGTTTTTCAATTCCTGCCTGCAGTTCTACCTACAAGTTCTGATTAGCATCGGAAATAGGCACAGCTACACTGCTGGGCATTATGGGTACCAAAGGAGCATTTCCAAAGATATCTGCAGCCCAATGAGCATCTGTGCACCCCAAGACTGTTTGCATCAGAGACCATTCTAGCTTAGTCTGCAAAGGTTTTCTGTTTTGATATCTCAGAACTGAGCCCTTTTAAAGGCATACAATTGCTTCTTCCTTCCTGATTTTTCAGATTTGTTTGATACAAATTCACACTGTGACACTGGCCAGTCCAAATAATGATCATATAACCAACATTCAAAATATAGGGATTTTTTATTTTTCAAAGCTCACAATATCCCTGTAAAGTTGGCCACTCCATCCTCAGACAGCAGTGAAGCAGGAGAAGAGATAATGGAAGTTCAAAGGAAGGAAACCAGCCATCCAGTTCAATTCCTTACCAATCGTTTATACAGGTTTGAAACTGGAAGCCTTTGTAGGTTGCAGAGCTCGTGGTGCAGAAAAGAGTTTAAGAAAACACCAAAGATCAGCAGTGATTAGGTAAATCCAGCTGCTGCTTAGATGAAGTTTTTGTTTACCCAAAACACCCTTAAATTCTCTCAACAGCTTTCAATATTATGCATAACACCCTTCTGGAACATTTGTCTCGTATGGAACTAGTGGGAAATGCTTTGCCTGTTTATTTCTACTTTGTTAGAATATAATGTTGGCAGACTATTACTTAGTCTGTCAGTTCACAAGATTTCTTGGATTTCTATTTTGTCCCCTGATCTTTTTTAATACACACATGAAGCCACTGTGGAAGATCATCTGAGGTTGGATACCATCATTTCCCTGATATTAGTTGACAGCTCTTTTTAAAGTCCTGGATACAGCACTGGCTTGATGTGAAATAACTTGAGGCTCAATCCAGACAAGGGCAGATATTTATTGTCATTGTAATGGCAAGTCTATGATTGGTTTAGGTCATTTTGGGTGAGACTGCATGCTTTCTCAAAGATTACCTTACCGGCACCTTTGTCCAAATTCAGCTGGCATGCCAGCTTGCATGCTTTCTCAAAGATTACCTTTGTCCAAATTCAGCTGGCATGCCAGCTGTGCCCCTTCTTAGTGAAAGGAGATCTGGCCAAAGCAAACTACACCTTAAGTATTTTTCCATTTACTCTATTGCAGTATGTTCCATGTAGAGCTCTCCTCAAAGTATAGAAATTTCAAATAGAACACGATGGAACAGCCAGATGGCTTTCTGTGTGCTCCAAACACCATGCAACACTGCTCTTATATCAACTGCATTAATTTCTAATTTGTTTCCATGCACAGTTTAAGGCACTTATTTTAATCTATAAATCCCTAAACATCATGGAACTGGGATAACCGCAAGACAACATCCTCCCATTTGAACCTGTCCATAATTTTGGTTGCTAGGGACAGGTCTGAAATGACTTGATGGCACACAATCAGACAACATCCACCCATTTGAACCTATCCATAATTTTGGTTGCTAGGGACCTTTTCTCTGGCAGCCTGGCAATTGTGGAACTCCTTTCCTGTGAAAGTCAAATTGACTTCACCTTTGTCAAGCTTTGGCCAGGTTGTGGAGCCAGGGGTCAGGAATTTGATTCTTCACTTTGTCTTGTAGAAGAAGAGCCAGTCTCTGTGGTCTTGATCAAGCAATACAAACCCCCAAGAAGAAGGGGACGTTAAGCCACTTTGGAATACTCTATAGCTAGAAAACCTTGGAAAGTGTCACCGCAGGTCTGAAATGACTTGATGGCACACAATTACTATTATAGAAACTTCCACTTAGGTTGGCTTTTGGTGGGTTTTAAAGTTTTATTCTACTCTCTAGAGATGCTGTAAAGATAGCTTGCTGTTTTTGGCATCATGGGCTGTAGAGCTGGAAGGGACATCACAGGTCACAGAGTCCAACTGCCTGCTGAAATAGGAAGTCTACACGAAAAGCATCTATGACAGTTGCCCACCCAGTCTTTGTTTAATGAAAGAGAGGATACTACTTTCTGAAGTACTCAATTCCATAGCTGAACCACTCTCACTGTCACGACGGAACAATATTACTTAAATTGTTTTGCTTTTAATGTATATTTCCTTTCAAGCCCTTTGGGACAGAGACAATTTATAAATACTTTAATAAATAAATAGGACAAGCCAGCAAAAACAGCCTTTTTTAAAATTTGCATCTAGTGTGACAGCAGCCAGTATTTCCTGAGGTGATTTGAAAATACATCCTCAATCACCCTGACAAAAAGACACTGGTTGAAATCCTGTTGCACAACTTTACACTGCACAATGACAATGACTTCATCAGCCAGTGATAGAAAATGTTATAACTGAATTTAAGATTTCTAAAACCCATCCCCTTAAGGTTCCAAGGCCCCCCAGGGATCCCTGTGTGCTGCAGAAGCCTTTGGGAGTCTCAGGATGGGAAGGAAAAGCTTTTAAAATAAGAAAACGGCCACTGGACTGCTGACGGAGGGACGGCCACCAACAAATTTTTGATACAAAAGGCTCCCCCACCCATCCTGAAGCTCCCAAAGGTTTCCTCAGGACAAAAGGAATCCTTAGGAAACCTCAGAAACTGAAAGGGCATGTGTGTTAAATTAAAATAAATGAAATATTTCACTTCCTGGTTGATAACATCATTCTTGTTGTACAGTGCAAAAGTTATAGCGACTGATTTCAGCCACTGAGTGAAAATATTCATTGTTTACATGCTTATGGTCTTTGTCTGATATGGTATCTTCAAATACTTTGGGACTACAACTTCAATTGACAATGATAGCTGAATCTGATGGTGTTTGTAGTTGAAAACATTGAGAGGATACCATATTTGGGAAATATGTCTTGGACTGAAAATATGACCAGGAAGCACATTCACCTGGAACTAAGGAGAATGAGGCTCTGCCTGTTTTGACAATATGAGGCAGGTAGATATGTTCTGCGTAATTTCATTCAAGATTGTACATGCTACCATGAGGATGATACAATGATCTTACAAGTGACACTGTCATTCAGGAAAGGAAGCTAATGCAAAACGACAGCTGAACTTTATAATTTTCCACAGGACCTATACAACAGTGGTCCCCAAACTCTGAGGAAAGCAGGGCACCCCCCCGCACTTGCTCGTGCGCTCTTGGGCGCATGCGCAAAGTGGTGGGGGAGCATGTGCATGCCAGAGCCATCATGAGTGCTCCCCCCCTTCATGCATGTGCAGGAGCGCCCGCATGCCCTTGCACAGGCGCTTGGCTGCAGGCATAAAGAGGGGCAGGGGAGCGCTCACGCCTGCGCTGGCATGCATGAGTGTGCGCAAAGCAGCTGTGGGGAGGGGTGTGTGTGTAGGGGGGTGGGAGGTCTGTCTCCGCGTCTGGGTCCGGCTCAGGCCACGGACCGGCACTGGGCCGCAGACTGGGGGTTGACAACCTCTGCTATATAGATTTTCTCGTAACATTAAATCTGCTTCAGAAGAAAACAATGCCATCTGCTGGAACAGTCATGATCTGCAACCATACACAACAAAGCACAGAATATCAACAATGGAAGAGAGGATACTAACTCCAATATATCCGCCACACGTAATAAGGGGCAAGTAAATAATTTTTAAAATAAAACTGCCCTTACCTAAATTTTAAGGAATCTGGGCAAGAACCATTACCCTAGAACCTCTGCCTGCATAGGATCGCTAGGTACAGTTCACCTATGACATCACTGGAGTCCCACAGGAGCATTATGAGATACAGTTTATCAAGTTCCATTTTGCAAAATTATCTCTCTAATTGTTACAAACCAAGCATTCACTTACCAAGATAACTTATACAAACTGACAGCATTCACAAATATTTGCGTACAAAAGAAAGCTCAGTGGCAGGTCAGAAAGGAAATAAAAGGTCATTATTGTTTAAAAATAGCTACAGCTGGATGTTATAGATTAATCCTCCCTGAATAACCCCCTTCAAAAAAGGAGGAAATTGCAGCTGTGCAAGAGACAGCCCTATTCAGGCTGCTATTCATAGGTGGGAACTGAAACTGGATGAAGTTTCTCTTAAAGCCTGCTCATAGTCAAGAAACAGTCTATTATTATTGTCAACAGTTTCCTCTTTTTAAAAAAATGTCCTGCACAGCATCCTGCAATGAAGAACATGTCCTTGGTTATGAATATTAGAACCTGTGAATGGAGAAAAGGCCTGAATCTTCATGGCGATACATTCATTGTAATATAGAAAAAGCTCATCCGGAGCATTTCCAGAGTACAAATCAGCCTCTGTCATCAGGAACAGCTAGCCCTTCATACCAGACATAGTGAACCACATTCACAGCTGGTTGGCTGACTTGCTATGTGTGCTATTTACCTTAATGGAGCTGAGAGGTGGAAAGTTTCGACCATCTGACTTCCTGAATTGCATTCCTGTCTCACCATAGCCTTTCCTCTCCACTGACCCATTAGCCGCTTAAATAATGTCACCCTGCCTGATCCCTAAGCTTTAACACTCCTGTAGAAAGCTACAGACTTTATTACTTTATGAAGATGTTCCTTCAGTCCTACAAATATGGAAGCTTTCTTCCTCACCCTTATCCAAGCCTTCTTGGATGGCAGCAGCCAAGTGAGAAATACAGTATTATATCCTTCTAGGTTGCTGATTTTATATTCAGAAGACTGTTGGAAGGTAACGAAAGCCTGGGGCACAGGGAAAAAGTGACTTCTGCATTGTGTACTGCTCCTCATCCAGCTGGAGCTTGTGATACAGTAGACAGCTCTGACCATCACAACCCACAGATCACATCACAAAAACAGTATATTTTCTGCACACGTTTACGTTTTGCTGTTCAGCACTACATCTGGCCTGCGTCACTCTAGGAACAGATGTGCCTGCATGAGTAGTAAGAGGTGCCACATCAGAATGTGCTTTGTTCAGCATGTGCCCATGGACCTCAACTGTCCAGACAGCGTTTGCAAGAGGGTTTTTCTCCGCATCATCGTTTATGATACTAGCACCAAGATGCTGAAGTTCACAAGGAGAGACCATACCTCTGACAGTCTATACGTTGGATTTTGGGGCTGAGTTTAATGGGATTTCCTTCAGTTCTGTTCGCATGCAGAGGTACTCCCCGATCACTGCCATGAGGGCTGTGCAGACAATGTGTACTAGCCACCATGTTAAAGCAGTTGGAAAGTGTGCGTTGTAAATCCAGCAGCCCAACAGATGGAAAAAGTGAACAGTGACTGTGAAATCCAAGCACTGCTTCCCTCTTCGAATGAAATACAGCAAACCTATGGCACTGCAAGGAAAATGGAAAAACAACCCACATTATTTTACTGGAAAGTGTACCATTCAGGGAGAGAGTAACTTGGTAATACAAAATGAGCTATCTGAAGTTGATTTTCCACCAAAATTCCATATACAGTGGTACCTTGCAAGACGATTACCCTGCAAAACGACGAATCCACATGATGAGGAGGTTTTGCGATCGCCATTGTGCTTTGCAAAATAGTGTTTCCTATGGGCGATTTTCACTATACAGTGGTGCCTCGCTTAGCGACGTTAATCCGTTCCGGAAAAAATGTTGCTAAGTGAAAACATTGCTAAACGAAATTAAACAGCCCACAGAAACGCATTAAAACGTGATTAATGCGTTGCTATGGGCTTAAAATCTCACCTTTAAGCGAAAATCCTCCATAGCGCCACCATTTTCGCTGCCTCTTAAGCGAGGAAAAACAGCGGGCGGCCATTTTGTTTTCCCGGCGACCATTTTCAAACCGCCGATCAGCTGTTAAAAAAGGGTTGCTTTGCCCTGATCGCTTCCCCACATTCATCGCAAAGAGATAAAACCCCATAGGGACCATCGCAAAGTGATCGCTTTTGCGATTGCAAAAACTCTGTCGCTAAGCGATTTCGTCGCTCAATGGAGCGATCGCTATGCGAGGCACCACTGTACGATGTTTCGGTCCGTGCTTCGCAAGACGATTCTTTTTCCGGGACCGATGCTTCGCAAGACGACTGTAACGTTCAGCCCTGCCCTCACCTGTTCGTCACAGCTGGGCAGTGAATCATCAGCCAATGGTGTGACAGAGGGTGGAACTGAAGGGGATGAGCTGGTATAAAAAGGGGGGTGAAGAGTGTGTGAGGACAGACTGATTGGAGATGAGAGCTTGTGCTGAGGGTTTTAAGTGATTGTTAGTTATAGTGAGTGAGAGAGCCTGTCAATGTGAAATAGTCTGTGAGAGCCAGTGATTTATTTACAGTGATTGACTTATTGATTCTTTACCTGTGATTTACCATTCTTATTTTTGTAATCAATAAACCAGTTTTTGTTTTTCAAAGTTACACTTGTCCTTCGCTTGATTTTTAAGGATAAGTTGGTGGCAGCAGAATTTTAAAGTGAAGTAGCAACCACTCTGTGAAGTGTTAGGGTGGCTGTTACAACGACAATTTTAACAGCTGGTTGGCGGCTTCGCAAAATGGCTTCCCTATGGGCGATCTTCGGACAACGACGACTATTTTCCCCATTGGAACGCATTAAATGGATTTCAATGCATTCCAATGGGGAAACACTTTTCGCAAGACAATGTTTTCGCTAAACAGCGATTTCAATGGAACAGATTAACATCATCTTGCGGGGCACCACTATATGCTGTACCCTAATTTTATGCCAGGACATCTTAATTAAGTTTTTAACACATCCAAGGTGTTAACATTTTTAATAAAGCAAAGGAAAAATAAACCCTGGAATGCCAACACTAGAGCTCTATGTTCTTTTCCTTTACACTTGCACCATTTCAGGCTCTTCGGAATATTAGTAGATGGATATTTTTGAAACTATGCTTGGCAATCATACCTCTTCTGGTTGCTTCACAGCTATAAACCTTTCTGTTTGGACAGTTGTGAACGGAAAAGAACTGGAAATAGGTACACTCACAGGCTCCAAGTGTCAGCAGCAGGGTACTCAGGTAGTTGTTTAACGCTCCTCCTTTAAGCCTTCCTTCCCTGAACTCTTCTCTATACTCTTCCCCTCTGTAGAAAATGAACAATTCAACCAGCTGCAACCAGAGACTTTGAGGGGGCTTAGCGAGTCACTATCAGCCGCTTCATCACAATGTTCTTCAGCTCAGCACATTTTAATGGAACGGAGCATCTGTATGCCTCTGTTTTTCACAAACACGAGTTCATCACCAGTATAATTTGTAACTTCATACCTGTAAAAGCTGTTTGTTCTTAGGAGCATCAGAGATGGACATGCAAATATTGACTTACCAAGTAAGAGCATTCAGGATAAAAGCCATCATGGCAAGCCTCCCAGGTGGGGTGGAGAATCCTAAAACCTAAATGAGGTTGCAAAGACAAACAGTGACTGGGTTAAACTGGAAATTAGTTCAAGCTATATTTCACTCTTCCCCTTCCTACAATTTCCATTTGTGGTACAGTCAAAATAATGTGTTTTTTTAGCTTAAGGACAGAAAAGCCGATTCTTCTTCTAAAAGACAGATTTGTATTAAGTGGAAAACTTAGGAATCTGGCAGTTCTTAATTAAATAAACTCACACCTGTGTAAAAGGGAAAGTTGTGCCCAGATTGAATTTGGTTCCTTAGAGGAAGACCTGAACTCAACTTTCTGCAGGGCAGAATCTCCTAGCTTTTGTTTTGGTGGCTTCTTGTTCCTCTCTGAACATTCATGGTATTACACACAATGGAAAGACAGATATTTTCTTGGCCTAACTCCTAAAACGAATAATCTGAATTACACATCAGTGGTTAAAGCTCTGCATGTATGGGTTGTAGCCAAGATCAGTAACTTTCACATGAACCTCAAACACCAATTATGCTGATTCAAGGGAGCGAAGGTATTAATGCCCTCATAGTTCCCTGCCAGACCACATTAACTGTGGTTTCTCAACACTGTAATACTCTAGCAAAACACCACAGCTGTCACAGCAATCCAGACTAGCATGAATCACTCTTCCATGCAAAACACTGAGATCAGATAGGTGTGAACATTGAACTCTTAAACTAGTCTGCTCTGCTTGCTGACATTGGAAAACAGCAAAATGGCTGGTTACATACAAATATTTCCAGAATAGTCACTTTTCTGAACAATAGCTCTCAGGATCTGTAGCATAAATTTAGGTGGGGAGAAAATGTGTGGTGATAACTTTATGTTCGATTATTACAAAGTTGTACAATGCATGAGCTAGCAAAAGCTCTACAAAGCATGTCTTCTCTGCAATGGACAATATTTGAATAAATGGGGAAAGTTGTTTTAATGCACATATAACCCAGGCAGTGATTTGTATAATTAGAAGCAGAATCTTCTTTTCTCAGACAGAGGAGAGGCCCATGTGTGGAGGAAACAAAGCTTAAGGACAGCAAGAGGAGGAAGGGGGAGATGAGAAAGAAAGAAACATCATGTGAGAAATTCCTTTTCTGTGCTTCTCCACTGATACCTCCCTCAAGAGTTACGTACACATTACTTTCCTTTCTACAAGTGATCTACAAGAGGGATAAAGTTCAGACTTCCAAGATCTATTTTGGTTTTTATTAATGCCCTGAGATCCACCAGGTGGAGATGGCTCAAGCAGGTAGGCCTATACAAAGAGTGCCTCTGGGGCCCACTTGTATGTGGGAATTTTTAATCACTAGTACCAGTTTCACAATTTCACTTACTCAAAAATCCACCTTTTTTCTCAATAATTCTTTTCAGCAACTTAAGGGGGGGTGGACAGAAGAGAGAGATAGTTCCACTGTATCTATTGCTGGAAACTGGAAACTAGAAACTCTTGTGAATCTATTGCTCCCAATCATCCAGAAATCGAAGAGTACAGCCTGATTCAACTTCTGCCAAACCCCAATGTACAAACCTGATCTCAGGTATGGAAAAGAAGAGACCTGTCTTTGTTGGTGATTTCTTTCCAACATTTTTGTTCCATCTTGAACTGCATTTTTACTTTAGCCTTTTGTTCTTTTTCCTCTCTGTAAGGAGCAGGAAAAGAATCTAGTATTGGGCTATATTTTTAAACACAAGCTTGAAGGATTTCTCCTGGATGTTCAAGGTAATTAATTGTAGTAATCCTGTCAGTCTGCAATGCTTACTATGAATATTTCCTATGTCTCCACTTCAGGAATGAGAATTCCCCGCCCCTTGCCTCTGCCAAAAAAGAATTTCTTACCTCCACTATGTCTCCACTTCAGGAATGAGAATTCCCCGCCCCTTGCCTCTGCCAAAAAAGAATTTCTTACCTCATAGCTAAAAACCTGGTCAAGGGAAGGAGTGTTTTGAACCAGGCTGTCCACCAAGGCCATCCAAAGTCCCAGTGAGCTGTAGTACACGGCCTGCATGAGTACAATCTGGGAGATGATAAGAGCAGGGTCCCAGACATAACTGCGGAACTGTGGAGCCATCCCTGATGCAGGAGCCTGCTGGCCCACTAGGCACAATCCAGCGAGATCTTAAAGCCTCAAATGCACATGTCAGGGCCTACTAAGCATTCAAAGCCATTCCCTCAGCACCTGAAAGGGAAAAGGGAAATGCATCATTCCAAGCACAGTTTATAACAGGGGCATCCAATCTTCCCCTCTTCCAAAACTGCAGGGCAGCACTGCCATGCTTTGGCATTCCCAACACTGACTGCCCATTTGTATGGTATCTCAAAGTGAAGTATCCCAGGCTTGATTGCCTGTTACACAGAAAAAAATTGGCAGCAATAACACAGTAAGTACATATAGTGAACCTCTGCAAGCTAACACCAGCGAGATAGCCATTACAAGGCATTCGTTTCTTTTTAAAAATAGTTTTAAGGTAACCAAGCACAGAGACTTGGGGGAATTAAGAATATGTTTAACATAAGCAAAACAGATACATTAAATCTAGTAAAAATATTTTAGTGAGATCTCACTTTTAAGACCAAAACACAAACTCTGCCCAAAATAAGAGTCTTTCTGGATCTTAATAATGTCAATCACAGCAATAGGTCTCCAGTTGTACTGGCTGTACAAATGTATACAAATAGGGCATGACAAAGAAAGAGTAATAATCTTCAGTTTGTTGATAGTACCTGGTACTTAGAAGTCTATTACTTCCGAAGACGGAGATTCTTCCACTTAGTTACTGTAACTATTATCAATCAATTTCCAAAATCCACACTGTGGCTCTTTCCTTATAGGACAACCAAAAAGGCAGAAATAAGTGATTTACTCTCCATCCTTGTTCCTAGATAGTATGTAAATTGTTACTATGGGGGAAATCTAATTTAGGAATAGGTGACCTGCAATGCTATACCTGGGTACTTAAGAATAGTACATCCAACTGAACTCAATAAGTATTACTTCTGCATACATATGCATGGAACTGAGCTGTGAATCTACTCCGACTTTCTCACACCAGTCCTATGCAGGTTTATTCAGAGGTATCACAGCGCTTAGTAAAGATTATGTATAATTTGAGGTAAATTATACATGAGCTGGCTGGATAGCTCAGTGAGTTAAGGTATCTGACCACAGGGCTGGGGGTCTGATTCCCTGCTGTGCCTCCTGAACAGAGCCAGGCTATGTACTGTTTCAGTGAGTTAAGGTATCTGACCACAGAGCTGGGGATCTGATTCCCTGCTGTACCTCCTGAACAGAGCCAGGCTATGTACTGTGTTTCCCCCAAAATAAGACAGGGTCTTATATTAATTTTTGCTCCAAAAACACATCATGGCTTATTTTCAGGGGATGTTTTATTTTTTTCATGTACAACAATCTACATTTGTTCAAATACAGTCATGTCAACTTCTGTTTGCTGCATAATGCTGTGCAATGGTGGAGGTGAGGTTTCACTTCACTGGGGCTTATTTTTTTGGGGGGGGTAGGGCTTATATTACAAGCATCCTGAAAAATCATACTAGGTCTTATTTTTCAGGTCAGGTCTTATTTTTTGGGAAACAGGGTAATCTTAGGTGAGCTGCACAGTCCCATGGTGCCCTCAGAAGAAGGGAATAGTAAACCACTTCTGAGTACTCTTTACCCAGGAAACCTTGAAAGGGGTCACCATAAGCCAAAACTGACTTGACAACAAAGAATTATATATTATAAATTATACACAGGGCTGGTCTAGGACTTCAGTCCTATGCACAATTATCTGGTATCAAGTCTCACTAGATTCAATCAGAATTAGATCTTAGCAGACACAGGTTGGGTTGTAGAGTCAGCTTGTCAATTTCACAAAAACTTTATCGTGCTCGTCCTTCCAACTACCTTGTAAAAATGTCCCAGTGGAGTAGCTTCTTATTTAAGAACCCCAGGCCATAGGAACTTCAAAACATGCTGTCACAGCTTTTAACCCCACTTTGACTCCTTGTCATAGGGTGGAAAGAAAAACACTACGAAGTTAAAAAGAAGACCAAAGTCAGCCTTGCCAGGTTTTTCTGAGAGCTGAGAACCCTCACTACTATAATCATACAGTGATTTCATGTCTGAGGAAATCGCTCCCCTCAGAGGGACAACTTCAAAAAGCCAATTTTGACAGGAAATGCTGCCCTACAGACTCAAGTTACTGTATCCAACCACCCGAAACTGCAGGGCACAGATTAGGAACCTTAGAGATTATCCTACTGCTAGCTTTGACTGGAAAACACACCTACTAAGTCAATTCCTCCCCCCCAAAAATAGTAAACTCCACCCAAGTCAACGAGTCTACCCAAATCGAGACCAAGGCCAGCCCTCGCCTTCAAAGGGCGCTATTAAGACACTTATTGAGCATCAATCGCAGGAGGACCAGCTTTTCTGACAAGAGCTTCCCTCGTGCCTTAAAGACGATTAAAAAAATAAAAATAAAATAACGAAACTCAAGGGTTTCCCCCACCGCTCCATTAGGATGCTAGCATTGTCCCTCCCCGTCGGTTGCCTGCCTGTCCTTTAAGAAAGAGAAGAGCAATACCGGGTCGGTGTGTAAGAACCGAAAGGAACCAGCCGCCCTGGAAACACCGGCGGTCCCTCTGCCTTAATTATAATTATGGGGGGAGAAAAACAGAAGCACACCCACCGACGCCAAGATCCAGATCTCTACGGCTGGCCTGGCATCCCATTCTTCACACCGGCCTCCTCCCTTCTTCCAGCTTTCCTCCCTTTTTACCTTCGTCCTCGCCCAGCTTATGGGTCCCTCCTTTTCGACCGCCAGCCCCACGGCAAGCGCCTGGATCCAAACTCTCCTCATTCACGGCCAGGCCCGTCTTCGCAGCTGACTCCTTTCGGCCGACCACAAAGCCCGCGAACCTCCAGCCGCCTAGAGAGAGACCACATCGCCCGCGGCAAACCTCCACAGAGAAACCTCCGCGCGCCTAGAAGGACGCGGGCAAACGGAAGGGAAATGACGTCAGCTTCCGAACAGGGCCTCTATGGTATCTACAGACTGCTAGACTAGAGGGAAACTTAGTCTGGGTAGGAAAAGTCGAAGAGCTTTAGGGAAGAGGAAGCGCTAAGGTGGGGTGGATGGGCTTCAGTCAAGGGTCCCTCGGCCCTCAGTCTTCGGGACCAAGACTGGGTCTTCCGAAAGTCCTCAGCTCGCAAGGTGGCCATAAAGTGGAAGCGACTTGACGGCCTCTGACACACGCACACCCGTGATATTGTTGTCCTAGGTCAACGTGTCGGGCCCGACTTATGGCGACCCCATAAAGTACGCCCTGGAGATAACATGTAAGGGGCAAGTGCATCCCAAACACGCTTATCCTGGGCAGCCATGTCACTGAACTCAATGGTGCTGACTAAGAGCACATACTGGGTTTCCTGCAGTACCTCGGCAGGTTGGTCTCCAGGTGCTCTCTTTCCTCGCCATAAAGCGAGACATTTAAATCGCCCGCCACTGGAGCCCTGGCTTACATTTTGCCTGACAAGCCATTTCGTGCCTTGGCTTTCATTTAATTTCTGGTGCAAAGTAGGTGAGACCAAGCGAGGGGAAACCACGCGCCGCGCTGCGCTTGTGGAGAACAATACTTGGGGAAAGCTTTGGAATTAAAGATACGGGAAAACGGCTCACTCCTTGTTCCTGCAAGTTGATGTAATGGCACATAGAACGACACAGCACGATCCACCGGCGGGTTTTCCCGTGACTAATATGAGATGAGTCACTCTTAAGCATTTCCGGTGCCTTTCTTACATCACCGGCTAGAAATGGGACGAGGAATAAGGTGTCATTAAGCAAACGGGTGGGTTGTATTACAGATAAGACGCTTAGTGCCCTCCTTGCTGGTGGGTTGGGCACTCCGTTGCAGATAATCAGGACGGAGTGGTAAAAGCAGGAGGTGTGTTTAAAGTGGGCGTGCTTTTGGGTGTGTGTGTGCATTTGTTTTTAGTATGATTGCATGGTAAATTTCCGTGCTTCATAACCCGATCCTATGTTTGTTTAGTCAGAACTCTGCTGTTCCAGCTATGTGGATGGGTTTTTAAAAATGCACGAGAAGATCAGGCAAAATCCAGAGAAACAAAACAAGACAAAAACGTGTAGCTTTCTGCCTGATAAGCTTGCACAGACTTACAAAACTACGACAAAAAAGTGAGATCTTAGGGTTGGTTGGAAACGTGTAGCTTTCTGCCTGATATGCTTGCAGACTTACAAAACTACGACACAAAAAGTGAGATCTTAGGGTTGGTTGGAAAGTCAAGCAAATAATCGTGTTTCCCTAGACCTCAAGATGGGATTGCAGACAAGTGGGGAAAAGGAAAACGTTAGAATTTATTGGGCGTTATGGCTTTGCTTGCTTGGACACCCATCTCCATTTTGCCCCCAGCTGAGACAGGGCTATTGCAGGGAATCCCATGGTTCCCCCCCACACACACACACATACACACCTTTAGTTTTGCAGTTGTTACATAAGCAGCCATCCCTTGTGACATGACAGAGACCCAACCTCTGGTCTCTGATTTCGGCCCTGATATCTCAGGGGCTGGAAAGTTGCTGGGCTGGCAATCTTCTCAGTATATGGTCCTGGAATTCTACTACTTTGAGAGAGGAGAGAAAGAAACAGGCTTCTTCCTCTCCCCTTTCTCCCTGGTATGTGTAGCAGCTTCCCATTTATGTGGGCAGAAAGGGTCCCTGGCTGTATATCAACCAGGGCTGACAATTTTTTACTGGCAGTATATTCTGGAATGAAGCACCGATCAGTCTTGGCATAAAGGATTCTGAGCACTATTGGATATAAAGAAGGGTGTTAGGAGACAGGGGGAATACAGAATGAAAGTAATTAAAATAAGCAGAATCTTGTCAGTAGAATTAATTATACCTGTGACTTAGTTTGAAGGAAATATTAAAATTTCACTACCTAGCACACGAAGACAGGAAGGCCTGGTCAATGGGGTCACCAAGAGTTGGACACAACTAACCAACTAAACAACAACAGCCTAGCACACTGGTCTGTTTTCTGCCATTGTATGGCTTCTTTCATTTCCAAGGCCCTAAAACAGAGCTTTTGACCCTTTTTATTAACCATGTTCTTCTTCCTATTTCTTCACTGAATTATTTATATACACTATGTTTTGATCCAAAAATACATGACTAAGTAGTTACATTGAAACCATATAAAATGTTCTCAGTAAAAATTCCATCAAATGATAAAGAGCAAAGCTAATAAAAGTATACAGTATAAACTATCCATGTTACATCTTCTCCCCAACAGATGGTCTGTATATCAGTCCTGTACCAAACAGGATCTGGAGGCCAATTCATCTGGAGGGCAGAGAGTAACTTCATACAGTCAGGATGGGTTCTATCCCGCCCGTCTAGACCAAAGGTCTACAGTAGAACATTCACGCCAGGGTCTAAGAGACAGTGGTGTATTGTTGCATTTCACACATGCAATGATATATGACCTCAGTTTGTTTTTCATTTCTTTTGAAGTTTGGATCCATAGATATCCCAGCAAGAGAAACAAAACCAGGCAAAAAGAGAACATTTTTTAAAGACCAATTGTAAGCAGTAACATGATTAAAGGAAGAAGTTCTATGAAAACTCACATTAAAATATAAGTTAGTCGTTAAGATGCCACAATGTTAATTGTATTTTGTATTTTTCCTTTGTTTTTGCATGATATGCTTGTACAAACATGGCTACCTCTTCTAAAACTTAGATAAAGTGGAAGCTATAAATGGGACGTGGGATGTGGTGGCGTTGTAGGTTAAACTGCAGAAGCCTCTGTGCTGCAAGGTCAGAAGACCAGCAGTCGTAAGATCGAATCCATGCGATGGAGTGAGCTCCCATCACTTGTCTCAGCTCTTGCCAACCTAGCAGTTTGAAGGCATGTAAATGCAAGTAGATAAATAGGTACCACCTTGGTGGGAAGTTAACGGCATTCCATGTCTAGTTGCGCTGGCCACGTGACCACAGAAACTGTCTACGGACAAAAGCTGACTCTACGGCTTTGAGACGGGCATGAGCACACGCCCTAAAGTTGGACACGAATGGACTAAATGTCAAGGGGAACCTATAAATGTGAAGAAAAATAATCATTATACTTGACAATAGGACCATCAGGTGGCCTGGGAGGAAAGATTCAGCAAATGCTTTTTCTGACATCAGACCATTTCTTCACACTGTTTCCACTGCCTCACTTCCTTCTCTATAGGAAATGTTTCTATATTTTGGGAGATCCTATTCTAAATTGTTGATGTCATACTGTTTTGTAATCACTAGGTGGCATATTTCTGCTTATGCCTTTGTGGCATGCACACAGTATGGAGCTACAGTATACCTGTTAAAGACTTTTCCATCATTAATTTTTAATAGAGGAAGTGTAAGTTTGTTCCTCCTTTTGTTGCACGCATCCAGACAACTTTCTTGGGTAATGCATCTGTTGCAGCACCATCTTATTTTCTATAATTATGCAAATCTGTGTTTTTGGACCACAACATCTAGGCTTCTTCAAGGAGCCTTGGATACTATATGGAAGAGAGAGTTATTTCACCATATAGCATGTTTATTATAGCACAATTTCAAATCTTCCCCTCAATCCACAAAAAAAGAACTGATTCAACATTCCAGAGGAATATTCCAGAGGAATATTTGAAATTTGCTCAACATGTTATAGTCCCTTGGGAGGTGGAGGAGACATATACACTATTTACTTCCATACATTAGTTTCTGGCAAGGGTAGAAGGCTTGTGTCTTTCATTACTCCAGACAGCTGAAGCAAAAGGTATTCATTACAGCAATCACAATTAACACACTGGCTGAAATCAAGCAATAAGTCACAACGAGAGTGAGCCCATTGAGTCAGTGGAGATTTAGGGAATCAACACCTATGTATGTTCCATTGATTTAATGAGCCTAGTCTAGTTATGACTTATTACTGGATTTCAACCATTGTATAGGGAAAGAATTATCTGTGCTACTACTGTTGAATATCTCGGTACTAAATATAGCACAATAAGCTTTCTTCCAAATATCAACAAAGCTTAGTCGCAGGACAAGGGGCACTAGAAGGCGGATCCTCCCTTTGTTGGCCAAGATGTCACAATCACCTCCTCTTCAACATTATGTGCAAGGTGAGTCTACAGACCTCCCTGCTCCTTGCAAACTTTTATAAGACGTATTGGTGCTATGAGAACTGGATCCCAGACCAACAAAATACTTTTTCTATGTTCTGGCCCGAATCCAAGACCTAGAATGAAGCCAAAGTTCAAGACCCATATGATCACTGAAAGAGTGAGTGAGTATGATCACAGCAGTTCCGTGTCCCAATGTTAGGATCAGGGGCAGCATGAGCATACTGCGGGACACCAGGGCGATTGCGGGTCACTGCAGCACCCTTTCATTACAAAATATTTCACAGTTGTATGTGGCCAGCCAGGCATCTATGTAACTATAGGTTTTTCTCTTACTAGTTTTTCAGATCTAAAATATGTTATCCTTTTTCCTACAATAGAATTGTGCTTATTTCAAAGTAAATGCATTTAATCTCAAGGCAGCTGAGGCATGATCCACATGATTCTTGTAATCTTGAGATTGGCACGAAAGGGGAAGAAAAGAACCACCACATGTTCTTAAGCAGCATTAAACTATAAGTTCAAGATTTTCCAGGAGTTTCTCTTCACACTTGACATCAACAAGACTCACGATCAGAGAAAAGTGGAGGAATTTGCTCAAGCGCTTGAGGAAACTCTTCCAGACCTGGCTGATGCAAATGCACCTGAACAATGGGAACATTTCAAGAATGCTGTTTATAACACTGCCTTGTCCACATTTGGCAAGAAGGCCAAAAAGCCAGCAAACTGGTTTGAAGCCCATTCGGAAGAGTTGATGCCAGCCACTGAGGAAAAGAGGAGAGCTCTAGCAGCATACAAAGCCTATCCTAGTGAGTACAACTTGCAGGCTCTTTGAGTTGATCGTAGCGAAGTCCAGCAGGCTGTCAGGAGATGTTCTAACTATTATTGGCCTCAGCTCTGCTCTCAGATACAGACAGCAGCAGACACAGGAGACATCAAGGGAATGTATGACGGTATCAAGCAGGCTTTAGGTCCAATACAGAAGAAATTTACTCCTTTGAAGACTGCTACAGGTGTGATCATCCAGGACCAAGCACAGCAGATGGAATGCTGGGT